TCATCCTAGAAGAACAAATATGAGCTACAGTACATAGCTAGGTGACCAGCACCATCAATCACAGGTCAATTGGGATCATCGGCTACAAGGTCTAGCACAGAAACAAATAAACCAATTGTGGTCGTGGGAACCAAAGAACTTACCAGGAGATGGAGCCCGAGGAAGGAATCAATGAAGTAAACTAGAGAGTCGCCTCGACACCGGGGTTGCAGCCACGTTACTGCCGTCCGCCAGCACCAAGGTCGACACTGGTTAGAGCAACACCCAGTGTTGGCTATACCGGGGGCGGTCAGGCGAACACCGCACCCGCGTTGCGGCAGCCCAGCATCCTTGCTAGCCGGATTGGACCGACGCCTGAGGAGACCGGAGGCGGCCGCCTTTTCCGTGTTGGACTTGGTCACGCTATCTCCACACCACACCCTGCTCCCCTTGTCTCTGTGCCGCCGGCCTCATCCTCACCGTGCGGTCTCGTCTGCTTCGCCAATGTATCTCTGGATCTGTGTGAACTTTTCCCCAAGACCTCCCCATCCCTCTCATCTTCTCTTCCGCTTGCTTGTTGGCCCAGAACCAACGCCGACTACTTTCCGGCAACGGTAACGACCGACGACGAACAAGGACGAAGTGAAGCTGACTGGATTGATCACCTACGCAGTGCAAAGCTAGCCAAGCTAGCAATCGATCCTTTGCTTGGATTATGCACGCCCGTATACACTTTGATCAATCTCGCCGGAGTACACACGCGAGAACACAATACGCCAGATTGGATAGCCACAGGAGCGTGTCGCTCCCGTCAATATCTTTGTATTGATTTTCCACGGTCGATACAAAGTACAGGGGTAGGTTACATATATATACTAGCTAAGCCAACTAGTACTAATCCTACTCGGCGCATTATTAGGAATCCTACACGGACAAGCGCGTACACATTTCACGGCTAGGACACAGACGTATCCGTGGTCGTGTTTGACTCCAACAATCACCCCCCTAAACACGACGTCGTCACGTCACAGCTCCGACACCGATTCTTCTTCGCATCTCCAAGAACTTCTCTTGATTCAAAGCCTTGTAGCATGTCCACAAGCTGATCATTGGTGTGTATGTAGTTGACTTCCGTCTTACCTTCTTCCACAACGCCCTTCATGTAGTGATACATCGTATCAATGTGCTTGCTCCTATCATGCCGCACTGGATCCTCACGTGGAAAAGTTGTAGACTCGCCGTAAACATTTAGCACCACTTGTTTCGGATCTCGGTCCATGAGATCACCATGTAGCCTCCCTAGCCACACACCTGGACACATCGCAGCGGCAGCTGCAACATACTCTTTTGCATCAACTGCGGGTGCGTTAGTCTTCTTGCAACGCTCAAGACGAGGTTCCACTAAAGCGCCAACTGAATTGCAAACTTTCATGCCGCGGCTTTCAAGTACCTTCCTTGTGTATGCCTTCTGGCATAGTGTGACCTCCTCGGTCTTTTGATGTACATCTATCCTTGGGTAGTAACTCAAAAGACCTAGATCATTCATCTTGAAAAGCTCTTTCATCTGTAGCTTGAACTTTACAATCACCTCTTCATCTACTCCAGTTATCAATAGGTCGTCGACGTAGATGCCAACTAGTAGACGATCCCCTCCTTCACCTCTCTTGTACATTGCATGCTCTAGTGGGGCTTTCTCAAATCCAAGAGAAATCAATGTCCGATCAACTTTGATGTTCCAC